CTGTTAGCTCTGTCTGTGGGGCCTCTAAGGACAGACAGGACTGGAAATAGTAATTAAGCTTTGAACTGTTCTGCAGAAGGTTTACGTGATACAGTAGTAGGAGAGAGTACTAGAAAGGCTAGTAAAACTGACTGCTTTTTCAGTTTACAATCTACACAGATTGTATGTACATGTGAGTGTTACTCATTTTTTGAAACAAATATTTTAGAGTGTAAGATTCCTAACAATTGAATATAATATCTTCATGTAACCTGGAGGTTTGAATTTATTTTCATTTTTTTTTTGCTCTGAAAAAACAGTTGTCTACTTTTAGCTACACTCAGTATTTAATTTCCATGTAGTGGTGGACTGGTCACTTGTGGAGTTTGGTCTAAAGCCATCTTCCAAGCTGACAAAGGACTATAAATGTTTGGGGTTTTTTCTGTAAAAAGGGAGTGTATTTTCCCTTTTTTATTTTTTTCTTGAGCATCTCTGAGGGAAAAGCATCTACTCCTACAGGGTGTTGTAGGAGTTGCAGACAACTGTGCCCATATGAAACTCTGCTGCATATGATTTCAGAATTAAGAGTCCCATAAAGGCTTATGATAAGCCAGCTATGTGGCTTAGGACCAGTTCTCATTTTCACTAAGACCCGAGACTCAACACTACCTAACAGAACAAATACGAGTTCTTTGATTCATTTACAGGCATATCTACTTTCAAGATTGTGCTGCTTTGTGTTATGGAAAGCTGAGTAAATGACTTCTGTGTCTGGCAGATCTTTGCAGATGACACGCAGGCTGTCTTTGTGTTTATACAAGCTGCTTACTGGTTTGAAAATCACTTCCTCCTCAGAATGAATGTTTTGCATAACTGAATCTGAATGGAACCATGATAATTGTAGTAACTACAGGATATGTGTGCTTTGAAGCATTCTAGATATGCCTTCATAAAATGTTAGGACTTCGCAGCAAATCCATCTTCATGGCCCCACTGGCTGGAGAGCTCCCCAGTGGCCGTCTGGTTGGATCTGTTGTTGCACTCCTCCTGGCCCAATGTGTGTGTGCCAGAGATGGCAGTGGGGCTGCTCCTTCCACCAGCAGCACATCATGGTGCCAGAGCAGTGGCGCGGTGAAGCCGCAGAGGCTGTGCTGTGCCGATGGCCAGAGGCTGGTGTCCTGGCTGCTGGAGTAGCAGTGCCCTGCTGGCTGCACACCCTCGCAAGAATCCTCATTTGTAGGACCAGCAGCTCCAGTCCAGCCTGTCTGTACAAAACCTCCACGCCAGCTCTGGTCTCCCTCCAAGCTGTGGTATACTGTTGTAAAAGTGTTTTGTTTCCTGGGGTTTTTTTCCCTTTGTTTGGAGATTTTGTGTGGTTTTTGTTTTGAAGCCCTAGGTTTCTCATGGAATTTTGTGTTTGCTAGAAATCTAGCTGAAATTACCTTGGTTTTGTTTAGTCATACCATACAGTTTGTAGACGGTTTGTAGACAGCAATAAAGAATAATTTTGGCAGGAAAGAGGGAAGTGGGCAGCTAACTCAGTGGGGAAGTGGATACTAACCTTTGCACTAACTTCCCCAACTACCAGCAATGGCTGTAAGTTTCCCGTTTTAATGGTGACTGCTTCAGAAACACAGATTTTGACTTGAGGAGAAAGCAGTAAAAAAAGGAAGCAGGTCAGGTATGTAAATTTGCAACTGAACCTCAGCTGAGGGGGAAACGAAGGCTGCCAAATAAAGCGTTTCCTCCGCAGCCTTGCAACCTTCCTCCAGCTCTCCCACAGTACAAAGTGCTGCCTCTGATAAGGTAATTCTCTAGTGTGCGCACTCAGGCTGTGCAGAGCTGAAGCTTTACTGATGTTAAAAGCTTAACTGAATGTAGTCTGAAACTATATTAATGAGTGTTCTAGGGTCAATAAGTGTATTAGGTGTATTATTAGATAAAAGGCAACAAATATAAACCTGTAAAGATCAACTTTTGTGAATGGGATATGATCAGATTTTAGGACTCTGAAATTGTGAGCATAAACAGTAACTTATTGTTAAAATTGGTCTGAGGAAGCAGCATGCCAGTGAGAGAAATTTACAAGGAAAAAAATTCCTCAAAGATAAGAGCCATGTTAATGTGTAAATGTTTGCAGATCTCTCGTTTTGGTATAATGAAAATGCCGGGTCTGATTATTCTGAGCTCTGAACAATAGAGGAATTGCACCCAGCTGGGTATACAAGGTCTTTCTGAATGGGATTCTTTATCCTACACTCAACTAAGTTTTATTCTAAAATGGGAGAAGGAAAGACTTCTTAGCAAGCTTTATTCTTGAAAATTTTAGAAGATGAAGACTGCCATGGTCACTTTCAATTGAGACTCTCCCTCCATTTGAACAGTGACAGGTTGGTAATCTTCTTGAGTGTGTTATTTGTCAATGCTAGTGCTCCTATAAAAACTAAGAATAACATAAAATAATAGTGCCAACAGCCTAAAGAAAGGATTCCTATGCCTATCAACTAAAGTATCACAAATATAACTATATTTGAAGTACACTTTAAGTTCTAGAAATGTCTTAATTTTTAAGTTTTTAGGCAGAATACAGTAATTGAAGGTTAAGCGGTATCACAGGCTTCATCCTATGAAACTATATACCCAATGGACACTACCATATATATAGTCTCCTTCCTCTGTTAATTTAATATGCAATGAATATTGTTTTTGGAGGATTAGATTTACTAGTGAAAACAAGCAGGACATCAAGTACAAAAGTGTGATAAGTTACAAAGTGTTAAAACATGTTCTAAATTATGTTGTTGGGTTCGATGTCACATTGCAAATTGAAAGATATAATTCTGGAATTTTCCTTTTAATTTTTTTTTTAAATTCAAAGTCTAAGACCTCACTGTTAAAATTTGCCTCTGTGTGCTTTCCACTGTAATTGCATGCTAGCTCACTGGGCTACTTTCCTTAAGTTTTAAGTTTTCTTCCAGTTTGACTTCACTGTACATGAAAAACACACTGTGAACACCTGTCTGCCTTCCTTAAAATAAATTAGAAATGCAGGATAAAATACTTACAATTGTAATTCTGAAAACAAAGTACACTTCAGTGTAAATAAAATGTTTATATGATGCTGTTAGTGACAAATTTGTGTCTAGTTTGTGGTCTCTGCCTGCTGTTGGCTTGAAATACAAAATATTTGACTATAGTACTTCCTGATCCTCATAGCTGTGCTCGACACTTGTGCAGTGTTCCACACCCTCCTCCCACCTGCTGCTTCCCCCAGTCATTTTGCAGTGCCATGGGCAAAGTGGTGGACCCAGCATGTAGTGCATCCCGGACAGCATTACTAAGGAAAAACTCTGGAATGCCATGCCTCAGTTTCTTAAATGCAGCTGTTCTGAGATCTGCAAGTAGCAGCTTAAGAGCCACAGTTTAGGAATTAAAACTTAAAATGATACTGGAGCAGCTTAAAGAAAATAGGGGGGGAAAGGAAATTCTTGTGCTGAACAACCTATGGCAAAAGAGCAGTGGACACAATACGCGCTTATTTTTGTTAAACAAAGTTTCTTATCAGTTTTTCTGATAATAGCTGTTATTCTTACAGCTACTCAAAAAGTTTTTCTGAGGCACTATCTTTTTTTTTCTTGAAAGTAGTAAAAATGTAAGTAGCCTTGTATCTCTCAAATACTTCATGTTTCATAAACTTACAGATTCACGTTTTGGAAGACATTCTCTGTAAACTGTGTGGGCTTTTGCAATTAGAGGCTGGTTTGAAATTCAATTAAATTATTAGGCAGTGAATTTGTGACTAGAAGTGGCATCTGTGCAGCAATGTAAGTTATTTAAGGATCTCCTGTTCTTGATCAATTTACCTGCATGAGATAGTACTTTAAAAAAATTTTAAAAGACACACAGTTCTGCAATACAGTTCTAGAGGGCAGTTTTCTCAACAGCTACAGCTGTATCTGCTGCACAACTGCAGTGATTCTGTTCACAGAGTCCTGAAACAGAAAAAAAGGTGTGCTTAAAGAGTAACAGAACTAACAAACAAAAGTCATCTAGGGCTTGTGCAGTAAAGTAGAAAATAAAATTGGCTAGAAATCATGTTGCAATCCAGCATTGTAGCATACCTCCACATAAAAGTAATTACTGAGTATTAAAAACAATTGTGTTTAAATGATGGTAATGCAACACTGCTGTGCGCTTAGATTAGTGCACTTGCAGTAACTTGATACAAATCAGCTTGAGATATAGGTCGCAAGTATTGCCTCTTACCTTAAAAACCTCTCTCAGCAATTCAGTAACAGTTTTTCTCACAACACAAAACTGAGGTGCCCTGCTATAATAACTTTTTTTCCTTGCCCTTCTCATCAGCTCTTCCCTGGTGGTACTTCTAAGCTCATATGAAGGATGTTGAAGAGACTGTCTCACGTAAAGATCTTGAAAGGCTGCAGGGACTTCTTTACCAGCGAGAAGTAAAGCATGGCTGCCATCCAGGAAGTGAGTGGTAAGTCTTAATGATAAAGAAATCTATGTCAACCCTGAAGTGGGTATTAAACATTCTTGTCAAACTCTAAAGCATGAATTAACAAGAAATACTTGCTTCTCAGTAGTGTATCTGACTTCAGTTTTGTTTTAGATGCAGCTGAATCAGCTCTGGATTTTTTACTGAACTTCAGTTTGCAGTGTTAGTAATGTGGAAATTTCATGAAAATTGTATGCTTCTCCCAGTGTTTTTCTATTAAAAAATATATTTGTTAATTTTTAATTTTCAGTAGAATCTTTTTGGCTGAACTATTCATCTTTTTACTGTCACTAAATAATAATGTAGTTATTAATCACTAATATGTTTAAGAAACCTTTTAGTCTAAGAATGACTATCATATTCCATTTTGTTTTAGGATTTTTCCTTCTGTTTCCTTGAAAAACTTGCCAAATTCCTGAGAAACAAATTTTTTTTCTGAAGTTGTTGAAGCTTATATGAACAGAGAAGAGGACATTTTTTTTTAGCCCTGCAAAGCTACCTGGTATTTGAAATGCTGAAGAGGAAATTACGGTTCTGCTACAACTCACGCTTCAGGCTTTTCTTGGGTCTAACTCTCATTTTAGTAATAATTTCAGTTTTGAAAGTTAACCAGAAAGAAGACTTCCTAAATCGGAGACATCTGGAGCTAACAAAAGAAGATCCTATTAGTGATGTTAACTGCACCAAGATAATTGAGGGGGATATAGAAGAAATACAAAAGGTACAGCTTGAGGCATTATCAGTGTCATTTAAGAAACGCCCCAAACTAACAACAGATGATTATATTAACATGACTGCAGACTGTGCCTCCTTCACCAAGACTAGGAAATACATTATGGAACCTCTCAGTAACGAGGAAGCAGAATTTCCAATTGCTTACTCAATAGTGGTTTATCACAAAATTGAGATGCTTGATAGACTTCTAAGATCAATCTATGCTCCACAGAATTTTTACTGCATTCATGTAGACAAAAAGTCTCCAGAATCCTTTTTTGCTGCTGTGAAGGGAATAGTCTCATGTTTTGATAATGTCTTTATTTCCAGCCAGTTAGAGAGTGTGGTATATGCTTCATGGAGCAGAGTGCAGGCCGACATTAATTGCATGAAAGATCTCCACAGAAGAAGTTCAAACTGGAAATACCTAATAAACCTATGTGGTATGGACTTTCCTATAAAGACCAACAAGGAAATAGTAGAGAAATTAAAAGCCCTTAAGGGTGAAAACAGCTTGGAAACAGAAAAAATGCCTGTTTATAAAGAAGTAAGGTGGAAGAAACACCATGAGATTATTGATGGTAAAATAAGGAACACAGGCATAGACAAACAACTACCACCTCTCAGTACTCCAGTTTTTTCTGGCAGTGCCTATTTTGTAGTTAGCAGGAGCTTTGTAGAATATGTACTAGAAAACAGCAAAATACTTAAATTCATTGAGTGGGCGAAGGATACTTACAGCCCAGATGAGTACCTGTGGGCAACAATTCAAAGAATCCCTGAAGTCCCAGGCGCGTTTTCTTCCAGTGACAAGTATGATGTTTCTGACATGAATGCCCTGGCCAGGTTTGTCAAATGGCAGTACTTTGAAGGTGATGTGTCCAAAGGTGCACCCTACCCACCATGCAGTGGAGTTCACATTCGCTCTGTCTGTGTTTTTGGAGTAGGAGACTTGAACTGGATGCTACGAAACCACCACTTATTTGCTAATAAGTTTGACACTGATGTCGACCCTTTTGCAGTGAAGTGTTTGGAAGAGTATTTGCGGCACAAAGCTCTGTATCTGCAAAAGAACTGAAACGTCTGCTCCTCTTAGGAAACATAGGTACACATATTCAACTGCAACGTACTTTAACATGTTACAGCAATCGTGGTGGTGCTGATAATGGGTATAATGACTCACCATGTTGGTGTGGTGCTGCTCATGCCTTGCCTTGTCCATGGACAAGGGGGAGAAAACGTGTCTTGAGTATGCCTTGTGGCACACTAAAGTTTGGAGCTTTAGGTACAAAATCAGACAGCAGTTTTTGGAAAGCCAACTATTTGGAATATTTATTATCTAGAAGATATAATTAATGGACTTCCTTTGGCTAAACTGTTTTGAGGCATAGAAAATGCATGTTGTTCATGGTTATTCTCAATTTTTTTTCCCATGAATGTAATGCTGGCTGGAAGAGAAAGATGAAGGGGTGGGGTACAAAGCAGCTGGACTGCACTTCATACTGAATACTAAAAGATCTCAGGTATATAACATTAGAAATTATCTAAAAGCTATGCAAAAGGGGATATACAAAGCCAGCTGTTACTATTTTACTTAGATCTGTTTGCTGCAGTTCTGTTACATGTAATTCTTAATGCTCCTGAAAATTTTGTCTTCAGCATGGAGTATTAAAGAATTCAAATCTTTTGTATTCTTAAAACACCCTGATATTGTGATATAAAGTTTATACACTAGTTTGTAATTACTTCTTCTCAGGGAAACTTCAGTTTTGTGCCTGATGAGATTTAGACTTGTAATTTTACATTTCTTACTGTATGGGGAGTTTTGCTGTTGTATCCAAAATAGCTGAAGTTTCTCAAAACTTAAAGAACTGCAGTAGTGGCTAAATATTACTGATGGAACTGCTGGTTTCTGCTTTCTGTCAAGCTCAACTTGCATTCCAGATTATTTTAACACTGAGTATGAAAAAAATAAAATTATTTTTTTAAATGATGTTGTCTCTTCCTACAATTGAAGTCCCCCCTAAAAATACCACAAATAATTCCTAATGATGAAGGCCAAAGATATTTTTGGTATGGTTTTCCATACATGACTGAAGATAAGCCCTACCTTACCTATGTATGGTCATTTGTTCATGTGTCTGTGCTTGTTTAGGTTTAATTTGTTAATCTGATTTTAATTCCAATTAGGCCATTGCTTAGTTCAGCTGCTACAGTGTGGCACAGAAGCTTGGGGATGAAAGAAGAGGACACTGTGAGGGATAATATTATTTCCTTCTGTATCAATTCAGGTTTGTCACGCATACTGCCAGCTGTCTCATTCCTGAGACGGCAGATACTTCATTACAAGTATTGGCAAATGGCAAAACAGACTATTTTTTTTTATATGTGAGCTGTTGCTGTAACTGCAGCATGTGTTTCTTACAAAGGCAGTTTGTTCTGAAGTTTCTCCTACTTAGACATTAACATAAGGGCTTCTTGCTGTTGATCATGCAAACAGCTAGGGAGGAAAGAAGTTTAATCTGAAATGGAGCCTGTTTCTGCCAGTCTCTGCCTTCAGAACCACCTGAAAGCTGTTCAGGGAGTTTTCAGAAACTTTCACGTTAACAGGTAATTAAAGCCTGTGAGCAAGGCAGTTGAGGGAAATACCCTGTCTTCCCCACCCTCTGACTTTTCTACAAGAATGCTCTTGTAGACAGTTGTGTTTTACCACCTTTGCACAAGTTACAACAAATTTCACTGCATACAGTTCTGGGAATTTTGAGGAAGTAATTTTCAGCAGAAAGCAGTTTTTAAGAATTTGCACCTAAAAACAATCTGCAAAAATATCTTCTATGATACCAGAACTGCTAGTTCAAAAAGACTGAAAAAGTGATGGTAAATAATAAAATATTCTGTGCAGCGGATGGACTGCTGACTCAGTTGCTTGAAATCTACTTGTCAGTTACAGCATTTTTACCCTACCTCTTTCAGCCTGCTTTGTAATTAATCATTTGTGTAATAGCCTGTCTGTGTTTCTGTTATTAATAGTACTATTACTATAGGTAGTGAAGATGCTGCTTGATTAGATGCTTCAAATATTACTGTTTAGATGGAGTGAAGAGCAATCCTGTGTATGCTCATTGTATCTTCTGTACAGAAGGAAAAGTAAGAGAGCATAGCTGTTTAGGATACATTTGCCATAAGATAAGGAAGAATTTCTTCTGGGAAAAGTGAACTACAAAAAAAAAAAACAAAACCAAACCTCTAAAACCAACTAGTGAACAGTCACCCTGCTCTTGTAGAATTTAAATGCCCAAGTCACATACCCAGCTTACACCAGCCTTCACACCATGATCCTGTCATCCTGTGGGCAGCTCGGAGGGGTTTGCATTCTGCCTACTGAATAACCCTTTTTCTTTCTTTTCTTTCTTTTCTTTCTTTTCTTTCTTTTCTTTCTTTTCTTTCTTTTCTTTCTTTTCTTTCTTTTCTTTCTTTTCTTTCTTTTCTTTCTTTTCTTTCTTTTCTTTCTTTTCTTTTTTTTTTCAGTGGTTTAAAGCTGGTTCAGTTTCTCAGTTGAGCTGACCACCATTGCTGGGAAGCAATGAGTAGCCACTGAAATTGTGGCTGAAGTACCATGTATGCTAAGTCCCCCTAATATAATTTCTTTTCATAGCAGAACTTTCTAAAAGAGCTCAGTGCATTGAAGACACTGCTCTAGTTCAGTCCCCACTTAACACGTAAGCGTTTTGAGTGGCATTAATAGTAATAACAACCACCATTTACTTGGTTTAGTGATGATAACTGTGGCAACAAAGTATCCCGTAATACTAAGGATCTCCAGGCAGAAAGCCTTTAGGATCAAAGGATGATTTGATCCCAGAAACCTAATACTTGTGCTTTTATCTCTTGCCTGCCTGAGGTTTGGTTTGACAAGGGAGCATGTGTTTGGCTCTTGCTCCTTCCTATCGAGCACAAGAAAAAAATGACAGAAAACCTACAACACTTCCGTTATAATCAAGGTCACCAGTCAGATCACCATTACTTGGTGCATTTTCAAGTAGTCTGACAATTAAAAATTGACCTAGGTCATAACATGAATGCAGTACAAGGCAAAAATGAAAGAAGAGATAGTTCAATATACATGTACTATGCTGATCAGGAGGATTTAATCCCTCCAGATTCAGCACTGTTGCCAGCTCTGAATTGCTGCAGCAGTTATTAAAAGTAATAAACGTGGTTTAATATAACTTCTGCCACAATACTTCACTTTTTAAATTTGTCTTCTTTTTTTTGAAAATGATAGTGGTGGTTTTCTTTTAGTCGTGGAATAACTAGAAGAGCTAATAATGTAGGGAGTACCTCTTCAGTCAACTTAAATAAGGAAAATTTTGTAATGTAAAATGGCTTCCAAATTCCAGCTAACAATACTATTCATCTATTCCATCTAACAATACTATTGATGTTAGCTTAACATTTCAGTAACCTAGGTAAGTTTTCACAGTTTTCAAAGTATCTTCTTTTCAATGGATCATTTTGGTGCATTTTAGTGCCCTAGACTACAGTGTGATAAATTAACAGTAACCTGCTTTTGACAGACAACAGCCTTCCAGGTGCCTTAACAGACATGAAAAGCAAAAACCATTAGATTATGTTTTTGTATTTCAAATCAAGCCAGCAGACTTTTTACAGATATGCTTACTCAGTTTTTAAGAATCTGACTAATCTGATCATTTAAGTTGTTTCAGGATGTTACTGTATCTTTCTGGAATATGTATCCTAATTCTTCTGTTTTATAGCTGAAATGAGTAGGTTTTGCATACATTCTTAGCATACAGATAATAGTTTGGATATTTTTTCTTCTTGGTTCCCCCTTCCTCCCTCCCCCTCCTTTATTTTTGCACCTGTTTTTTTTTTTTTACTCTCTTCCCTGTTCTGGATCTGACAGTTCTTCATACACGTCTGTGCTTGTATTATTGTCTGCCTTATTTGCCGTGCCTTAGATACAGCATCTTCAAAATGGGAAATACTCTGCTCAGTGCCCTCATTTAAATACTGTGCTTCTCAAACTGAGCTTTGCTGCTGGAGTCTTAAACATGGTTGCATTCTTCTAGAATCTGACAGTATTTGTTTTAGTTTGTTTTCTGTATCTATAATAGATAGCTTGACAAGAAAAAGTTAAGAAAACCAAATCCTTGAAGTAAAACAGTATATATAAAAATATATTGTTTTCTTCAAAAAACCTGATGCTTTTGAAATTTCCTAAGAAAATTATTAAGTTGTGTTAAAGATGAAAAAAATTCTGCTAATAACATGTCAGGATGGGCCTTGAGCAGATGCCATCTTTTAAAATCCATGTCACCTACTCCAAGACAGGATACTGGAACTCTTTCTGACAGATACAGATCTAGCTGTGTTTTTAAAAAAGTATTTCCTTTGGACTTGGACACATAGCCTTTTGGGAGATCTACTCACATACAACTAACAGTGTTTAATTCTGTACCATGAAAACATATTAATCTTGCATATCTTTTTTTTTTTTTTAATTTTTTAGGGACATGACCCCCTTAATTCTCACATTTAAAGAAGTAATATTTCAGGAATCTTGTAGCAGAAAATGTTTAATTACTAAAATCTTCTGTATCTTTGATGAAGTTAGTTTATCTACAATCAAAACCCTTTATCTCTCTTCCTTTCAGACAATGTGCCTTTGATACTCATGGCGATGGGGAGCAGGAATAGTCATAAGGTTTCAAAGTGTAGTTTACTCACTGGTGTGTGATAGGGAAAGTGAAAATTGTGGCTTAGCATCAACAGTTATGAGTGAGTCTTTAGTATATTTTGGCAAGAGCTGTGTGAATTGTGTTAGTGATGCTGGAAACAGAGAATCCCCAGTGTTGATGTGAAATCATGTTATTATGGAAAATGTACTGGAAGAGTGCACATGACAGGTCTGTAGGTAATGCTCATAATCTCATCTAACAACAGACTGTTGTTAATTAAACATGTTGCTTTCACTAGGCAGTTAAATTACCCCTTTGAACCATTAGATTATTAGGATGATTTTGTAATACCTCATCTACAAGCAGGAGTTGAAAT